GGGGTCGTGGTCCCGAGGCGTTCCCAGGCCAACTGAGCTGAGATATCACAAAATATACAAATATTGGGCCGAGAATATCGGATCGACAATTATATACATGAATATATATGGGTCAGTGTAAAGTGGTGAAGAGGTAAATACATGTCAAGAGACGAAGGCATCCGTCCATTTACTAACACTGTAGATGGACAGACACATTTTTACCCATAATCCCACTCCTGGAGCAGTGATCGCCGTGCGGGAGTTGACGCCTCCTCCACACAAACGTTTAACAAAACACAACGAAGAATCAGCTACGACCAAAACAAAAGGCTACGACCGCCCAACGATCGCGTTTCAACTGCAGGAAATATTTAGAGACATCAGTTTTAGTTCCAGAGAGAGGAACGAACCAAGAGGAAACGGTACTAAACAGTACCTATGTTGGACTCCTCAAAGGAGTAGAGGGTGGAGGCTCTGCCCAGGGCGTTGATGGCGGTCACGTTGACTTTGTACGGGGAGCTGGAGAAGACCTCTGGGAAACGAACATGGCAGCGGTTCTTGTGGACGGCGTCTTTCTGGACCTCCAGGGACTTCTGGTTGTGTCTGTGGAGAAAATGGGACGCGAACCAGTTCAGCTCCACATCCTGGTCCCACACATCAAAGACATCAGAGAGTACTGACCCACTGACTGACCCTCGTCTACATCAGAGCCGGAGGGGGGGGGGGGGGGGGTGAAGCCACTTTCACAGCATTAATACAGCGCCCTCATGTGGCGTCAATCGCTTTGTTTAACACTTGGTTTACACTGGTAGAACTGGTTAGAGGTCAGATCACTGAGTGACTAGTTAAGTGCTAGTTATCTGTGTGGACTGGTTTGGTTCTTGATGACCTTTGACCTGTCATGAACCCACCAATTACCACGCAGTAGAAACCAGCGACCTACGTAGACTGGACTGACGGTCTTATATAAGTCAAAATATATCTTTGACAGGATTGTGGTCTTACACGTTCGAAAGATAATTTGGTCCAAAACCTCAGTGGACGACGCTGCAGTGGACGACAAGTGTGTACTTACACCACGTCCACCTCGTAGCTGGTGGGGATGTAGGTGGGGTACAACTGGTGCCAGCTGCAGTAGAAGCCTTTGGGGTAGGTGTTGGATCGACAGGTGACCGAGGGCTCCCGGGGGCGAACTGCACAGAGAAACACACAGGAAGTAGACATCAGGGGACACAGGAAGTAGACATCAGGGGACACAGGGAGTAGACACCAGGGGACACAGGAAGTAGACATCAGGGGACACAGAAAACCACAACACGACAGAAAGAACAGAGAGAAATGAAAGTGAAAACATCTGGACTTTGTTCTGTTTTTCTGTCCCTTCATCTGAACTGACCAATGACAGGACAGCTCAGTCACAGTCTAGTCTTCATCAACTCGACGAACACTGACCAACAATGACATTTAATTAACAATTTATTTTGACTATTTTCAACTAGAAATGGTACCAGGTACTTAGTTCGGTAGAATCAGACCAGACCAATCGATCCAACCAACAGATCAGCCATTGATTTAGCATGGGTGAGTAATAACTCCCCGAGGCTAGGCTAACAAGGCGCAGCCAATCAGCAGTAAGGCTTGAAGTCACCGTAAAAACAATTTTATAACGAATAGGTAAAAAAAAAAAGAAAGGCCGGCCCAAACAGTACCAAGACTGATCTGGACCCCCGGGTGCCTTCAGAACCGAGGCGAGAGTTTGTCGGACTTTCCTCTGGATTCAGCTGAAGTTAGGAGCGTGGCTAACCCGCTCCAGACCTGACCGTGAACAGAAATCTTTTAATCTGAGAAATTGTTCTAACTGATAAAAACAAGAGCGGACAACAGTTGGTACTTGTTGCTGTAAAAGAGAGGTCGCTGTGGAGAAATGGAACCCAGATTGTTGGCTGCAGGGCCGACGTTTGAAGACACGACCGAGATGTTTTGGTTAAAGACGGGATGAAACGATAGTTGGGATTTATTACCAATTAACCGAGTCAACCAGGTCAACCAGGTCAAGGTGTTGACCAGTCACTAGTCCTGTTTAAATGTTGGCTCCGGCCAGGAATGGCCCTAGCCTTGGGGGGAAGGGGGGGGGGGCTGATCCTGGATCAATGATTCATCTCATCTAGATCAGAGGGAAACGGTGGCACAGTGGACTGGGTTTGATTCCAGCGAGCTCTGACCTCATACTGGGGCTGGGACAGGAAGACCTGACCAGGGTCTGACCAGGGTCTGGACTGTGGAACTGATTAAAGGAGAACTCTGTGACGACGAGGAGCAGACGTCAAAACAAACGGCTGAAAATTGTCTCCAATTTTCTCCTCATTTTGTCTGTGGTTGTGATTTAAATGAGGCCCAGTCTGCAGTCAGTCAGTGTGTGTGTGTGTGTGTGTGTGTGTGAGTGTGTGTGACCTGTTGTCATTTCAAATTAACCCTGGCTAATGACATGAGCTCACACACACACTGATGAGAGCTCAGCTTTTATCCATTCACACAGTGACCTGATGATGGCGCTGTCATGTAAATCTGTTCCCAGTCGTGTGAATCCTCCGACGGCCGATCACGGAGCAAAACCAGACGGGATTTTATTGTTGAATTCTCTTTAATGTTCATTTTCCTGTCGGGGGGGCGGGGTCTATGGATGTTAAAAAAAAAGAGCACTCTTTCATCATGTGCACCAAAATAATTAATTACATAAAAACTTCTGTCTGACCAATCACTTCCTTAACCCACTCCAGCAGCAGTAGACCTAAAAGGAAGTCCTACAGTAGCGTCGTCTTCTCCGTCCGTCCAACAGGTTCTGCTGGTCTGTTGTGTGTCTGACCAGAACTGAGATCTAGTTCTAGATCTAGATCTAGATCTGAGATCTCAGTTCTGGATCTAGATCTAGATCTAGATCTCAGTTCTGGTCTGGTCATGACTTGGTTCACTGTTGATCTCATCTTGGTTCTGTGTTCTGGGAGAAGGATGAATGTAAATGACCAGAGACTGAGACCAGAGTCGGAGACCAGAGACTGAGACCAGAGTCTGAGACCAGAGACTGAGACCAGAGACTGAGACCAGAGACTGAGACCAGAGACTGAGACCAGAGACTGAGACCAGAGACTGAGACCAGAGACTGAGACCAGAGACTGAGACCAGAGACTGAGACCAGAGACTGAGACCAGAGACTGAGACCAGAGACTGAGACCAGAGTCTGAGACCAGAGACACCGCGGTGCCTTCAGGTCCAGACCAGCTGTCACGGCTAACGCTAATGTGATTGTGGTGTCATATTTTTATCCTGCTGCACTGAATGAACTGCTGTATGAACAAGTGTGTGTGTGTGTGTGTGTGTGTGTGTGTGTGGATGCAGAAAGGAGGGGAGAGAGAGAGAGAGAGAGAGAATAGTAGTAGTAGTTAGTAGTTAGTAGTTCATTCTGACTAGTTCACTAATTAGGTCCTTGGTCTCAGGTGTAGTTCCTGAATCAGGACTCAAGGTTCCCACGTTCTCCACCGTCATAATATACAGACTGGACCGGACCGGACCGGACCGGACCGGACCGGACCGGACCGGACCGGACCGGACTGACCTTGAATATATTGACTATATATTGACATGGTTTTTCTGTCTCTGTACGTGACCTCAGTCCACATCTCTGTGGACGTCTCCAGTCCAGTCACCACCAACAGGACCGGATCAAATCCAGTGATCGGTTCAGGTTCAGAGTCAGAGTGACGTCCTGGTTGTTGTGTCCTGGTTGTTGTTGTTGTGGTTGTAGTTGTTGTGGTTGTTGTTGTGGTGGTTGTTGTTGTGGTGGGTGTTGTTGTGGTTGTTGTGGTTGTTGTGGTTGTGGGTGTTGTTGTTGTTGTGGTTGTAGTTGTTGTGGTTGTTGTAGTTGTTGTGGTTGTTGTTTGGGTTGTTGTTGTGGTTGTAGTTGTTGTGGTTGTTGTTGGTGTTGTTGTTGTTGTGGGTGTTGTTGTGGTTTTTGTTGTGGTTGTTGTGGGTGTGGTTGTTGTTGTTGTTGTTGTGGTTGTTGTACTGGATGACTCAGAAACACCAACTCTAGATTCACGGTTCTATTACACATCACAGCGCCCCCTTGAGTCGGTCAGTCTGAAGAGGACCACGGTGAGTTGGTCCAAAGGGTTTAGTAGAAGAACAAACAGTGACTTCGTCCCTCAGCAGGGCCTTGGTACCGATGGAGCCTCGAACACACAAACATAAACGCCTTCAGTATGATCTGAGTTCAGAGCACGACCCTGAATCAAAGCAACCCCCCCCGTACCCCTCCCCTGTACCCCCCCTCTCTGTGCCC